CGACAACTTAGATAGGGAGGGGGAGTCAATAATATAGGAAATAGATGAGGTAATTTATAATCAGTTATATTTTTTCATAAAAGATTAATAATTTATCCGAGTTCTGATAAAAGGAATACTCTGCAAATGAGAGGCAAAATAAAAAATTGTAGGTCACCTAGCGAATCAAATTATAAGTTTTCATATGATAAAATTACTTAAAAATTTTATTCAAATATAAATAAATTAGAAATGTTATATGGTATTATTATATTATATGGTAAAAAAAAAATTAATCATAATATTCATAGCTCATGGTAAAGCGGGAAAAATATATATTAGCTTGAAATTAACATAAATTCTTTGTGTCAAGATATATGTGACAAAAAAAATGACATGAAATTGACAATAAAAATATATGATGTATTGAATTATAATAAAAACGATGATAAAATGGAATTTTCATATCAAACTTGTAAAATATTGTGGCAAAATGCAAAACGAATAAACCCAAGTTTTGTTTAATAATATGTATAAAATAAACAATTGTGTGTATGATTATGTAAAATAAATTTTAAAAAAAAGTTTTGAATTTTATATAGGGGGTATCTGGTGAAAGGGTTAAATAAAATATTATAATAAAAAAAAGGAAGCTTTATTGAATTAGGATCAAAATATCAAAAATGCGGTATATATATTTCAACCAGTTTTGGTTTTGTAAGCGATTATAAATTGTTGTTCCACCCATTCCATCCGATCTAAAAAAAAAAAATAAGTTTTAAAATGGAATTCAAAAATAAGATAACAATATATTTAAATAAAATGGCAAAGCTTACCAATTTAGGATCGAAATTTGAGGCGTTTGAAGTAAAGTTGCCGAGAGGTATAAGTCCGGGAGGGATAGGTGCCAGGTTAGGTAACCCGTAATCGTTGTTATTGGTATTGTTGGAGGCCAGCGCAGCGACGGCGGCTGCCATCTTGAATTGATCGTTGAAAATGTTGTTCATATCGATGTTAGGAAAATTGTTGGATACGTTGGAGAGGGATGATAATGGGTTATTGGATGAGAGGAAGGATTGGTTCAACAAATTAAAACAGTTATTAGTGTTGGCGCCCAAGAAGAGTGGGTTATTAATGAAATTGTTCAACGAATCGTCGAGATGTCTGGATTGACCTTTATTATTCGAGTTCTTTCCCTGATTATCTTCTTCGAAACGCCCTTCGTTATGGTTGACGTTTTGATCGGAGGCGGCATTCAGATTGTTTAGATAGGTTATATTTGAAAGATCGCCTTGATTACTAAACAAATTGGCGTCGTTGTGATTGTTTCCAACCATGTCAAGATTCATGGATACGATGGGGAAACGAAAACCTTCATTAAGAAAAGCATTACCGATAGGAAAATTGGCATTATTATAAAGGGCTGTGTTTTCGATATCTTTCTTACAGGAAGAAATGGAATTGTTATTCATTTGTGAGGTTATCATGTTAGGATTGATGAGATTCGCGTTATAGGATGAAAGCAATGAGGATGATAAAGAGGTCAAGTTACTAAGATGGTGATCGAAGTTAAGCTGACCAGCCTTTGGTTGTGTCGAAAACTGTAAAGGAGGCATGGAAAACAGGTTGGTGCTGGATTGTTTCTTGTTTTTTATCTTAGATAAAAGTGAATTGTTTGCACCTGTGTCCAGAAGATTGGCAAAAACGTTGTTATTGGAGGGATCGAGCAATAACTTGTTTGGATTGACATTATTATTGGCGGAATTATAAAAATAAGCCGTGGCGGCTAAGATTTGAGATGGGGTGGGTTGTTGGTGGAGAGATTTTATGCTGTCCCTGGCAGTATCATTGAAAAATGGCATGGGGGGAGGGAAAGGTGGAGGAAATCCATTGGCCAGGGTGTTTGTTAGGAAAGGGTTGGGATGATTAGGTGGGGGGTGTGGTGGATAAGTAGGTGCCGAATTGAAAAATTGCTGGTAGTTGCAGGAGGTCGCCATTTGATTTAACTGGATATTGCTGTTAATGGAAGAGATGATCCGGGGGGAAGAACCGTTGTCGGTAGGGTCAAAGGCAGCAAGATTTGTGTTCATTTTCGCAAAATTATTTGGGTTAGTGTTGACCACCATAGAAGTGGTGGCAAAATTGTTGAAATTGGATTTTAAGATATCTTTCTTTCTCTTATTATCGTTATTAAATGAAGGATTGTCCACGGGGAAAGAAGACGGTTGGGAAAATAAGTTGCGGGAGTTATCGTCCGATATTTCGTTTGCCAATTTGGGGTCCATAAATGAAGAGGGTTGGCTGTAGGCTTGCAGGGACTGATCATACCATTCATTGAAAGAATAGGCATCAGCTAAATAAAATAAAATAACAAAAAACTATCAATACTAAATTAACTTGTCCCCAAGGACCAAGGAGTGTATTTGTTATAAAGTGGATTAATCGGAGTTTCCTTTTGCAGGAACCGTTCATTACCAATCGGCATCATCTTCGTGTTTGAAGGGTCATTCGCAGTATCTGTAAATTAGAAAAAAATAAAAATATTTCCTAAAATTGCCACCAAATTGTACCTAATTTTGGCAGGCCCCCATCACTAATTTTATCCACTATTAATCCAGCATGCTCATTAGCTTCTTTCAATGCATTGCTCGCCAAAGATGATTGAGTAATAATTTCTCGACCGTTTGTGGGGTTTGTTGTACCACTCGATTCAACGTCAACATTTTTGGGTGACGCTGTCGACTTAGCAAGCAAGTTACGCTTGTATCCTGGCGCCTTACGCAGGTCAACCTCCGCGAGACTGTTATTGATGTCAACATTCAGGTCTTTCAATTTATTGATAGGTATAAAGTTTGAGAAGTTATTGTTCTGCGGCGCAGCTACTACACTGGCAAAATCGGCGGCTTTAAAGGCAAAAGAATTCGAATCAATTTTTCCGACCGACTCAGTATTCATTTTATTTTCAGTAATATTATTATTTTTGTTAAACAAATCAACAGCGTTATCCTTTCTGCACCAAACTGTAGACGGAAACATTGTGTTAACAAAGGTATTGAAAGGTGAATATTCGGCTGGTGTTTGTGAAGACATTTTATCGCCGCTAAAGGACATTATATCTTCCATGGTCGCCATGATATTTTTATTATAGCCTTCATTGCTCAATGGTAAATCGTCACCTGAAGTAAATTTTAAAAAGCCTTCCGAAACTATTTTACTCGGCTCATACATGTTATTACCCTGATTGCTTTTTATGTTAGAACTATTCTGGTTATCCGTATCGTTTGATGTCATTTTATAGGACTCTGTAGTCCCTACATCTGAAAACAAAGAGGTAACATATTGCGGGTCTGACGATGAAATGATATAACTGTAATTATTCTTGTCCTCATTTGAATATTCGGAAGGAAGTGAGAAAAAGCCCCAAGCTCCAGAATACCCATTTGAGGAAGATGTTTTATTGTAAATGTTACCCATCAAACCATCATTCCTCATAGGTATTCCTACTGTCGATATGATGGAAACGGGATTTTTAGTGCTGGATGTGTTTATCAAAGTAGTAGATTGATTCATATTGTTAGAAGTGACGGTGACAATATGGGAAGGCAAAGTGGTGGCCAGGTAATTTTTGCGACTCGTGGTGAGAGAATATAAAGGTACGTTTGAATGGGTCGTGGTGATGCTGAAGGCGATAGGGTTGTTGGCGTAACGCGAACTTTTCATCATCACTTGATTGGTGAAGGAGAGTAGATTAGATTTTTGGAGTATAGCCGGCAACTTTGAAGAAGGCTTAAGGCTTTCGTAGCTTTGTATAATTTCCATGGCATCTCTGTCCGGCTCATCTACCAAAGCCATTATTAGCTGATAAGCAAATTTGATTGCCTCTGAAGAACCCCTATGATGATAATTCGAAAATAAATAAATAAAGTTGTTTTTATAAAAAAGATGGGAATAGGATCAAAATTATATAACGATATATTTATTCCATACTTAATAGTTATGTTTCTATCAGCGGCCCCTTTTTGTTTATCTATTTCGATGTGAGCACCTGACATATCCCGAATTGCATTAATATTTTGTCCACCTCTACCAATGACTCTCGCCACAACGTTTGATGCCACAACAACTCTTTTGCACCTAATTAAAAAAGGATTTCATACAACTTTCAAAAAAAGAACGGTTACTTTCTGACAACTTCTTTCCATTCTTCTTCAGTGTAATCTGGGGAGCTAGATCCAAATGATGATGTAGATAGATACGTGGATGAAAAAGCAGTTGATAAAGTAGTATTGGGCCTTCTACTATGTGAATTGGATGTGGAAAAAGATGGTGACATAAACCCTTGTAAAATCGATCTAAAATATAAAACATTTATGCTTACCATAAAACAATTGTTAGTTTAAAAACAAATAGACATTAAATATTCATTAAAAAAATTTAACCATTTTCACTCATCTAAATTATGCTGCATTTGTTTTTTTACTTAGGTTGTTGAGTTGAGGACCATTTGTGATAATTATTGACGCCTATACTACTGTCGTCAGCACTGAGGTGTTGTGATCTAGTGTAATGATGATAATTAGCGCCCCTGATGTGAGAGGTACTAGATGTGCCTTTAATAAAATGATAGTTGGAGGCCTTGTGAGAGGTGGAATAATCAACGCGAGAATCATCTTGACCGCTGGAGTATATAGTAGAATAGTAGTTGGTCGGTTTGTGTTTATACTTATAAGAAGGTCCATTGAGTGGCACAATCGTGTTGGATGAGTGTTTGGTAGATAAAGATAATTTCCCGGTTTCTTCACTTATATAGGAGTCGTCTTCATGATTGGCTGCCGAGCCAAAATGGAGCCTTCTCACTTTGTTTTCGTTATTGGTGCCAATGGATAGAGAAGACTTGGCAAAAGAAATGTCTTTGTTATTTTTAGTTGTAGAAAGATCTTCGTAATCTTGATCTACAGCAGACTCATAATCCTTCTTGGAATAATATCTAGTAGGGTGTTGATGGTATGACGAGGAAGAAACCTGTTGTTGTTTGTGATTTCCAACGAATTCACCTCCTCCCCATTTGAGCAAGGAAAAAGTCGAGTAGTTGCCATAATCCCTGGTGCGATGTCCGCTACGTACTGGTGAATAATCTTCATAACGATGCCCAATTCCATGTGTTTTACTGCTTTGTGCGTAATCGTGATGCAACCGGTGGCTAGACTTGAGGGAAGCAGTAACCGAAGTAGAGGTGCTTATAGTTATCGGTGTTTTATTATGGGAACCACCCTTGGTTCTGGAGTAGGAGGAAGGAGGTGTTTGGAGATAAATGGCAGTTGGGTCTTTGTAATGTTGCTGCAAATGCTGGCCAGAACGGGTCTTTTTAGAGGCCCTTGAAGTGGCTTTGGACCACTGTTGTTGTTCTTCGTCGTCGTCATCATTGTCGGAAGCGGATTTAATGGGGTGGCCTTCGTCATAATAATAGTTCATAAAATCGTATTCCGTAATTTGAGTAGCTTCAGGCAACTGTTCAGCTGCGGGCTGACTTTGATGAATTGTTGTAAGGGTGAGAGGGTTGAAAGGTAAATCTGTCGATCTGGAGACAAAAGTCTTTTTCGTAGAGCTTTTGGGAAGCTTTTGAGAGGTTGTTGCAAGGTATTTGGAAGAGATCTTTAAATAACATACAAAAGCAACATAACGAGGTTTTAAAAATTACTACAATTTATCATTTTTAGATTTTGATCATATTAGTAGGAAGGGATTTTCCATTATATCATATTGTTAATTGTAAAATGAAATTTCAAAAAAAATAATGTAAATTTGTCAAGGGGAGAATTTACCCCTTCCATAGCCCCAGTTCCGTCTATTATGTGTACAATCCTCATCCTCTAATTAAAACTTAATTTAATACTTTAAAATTATAAAGTAGAAAATAGGGAGGTTATTAGTATGTAATTTTTCAAATTGATATGATTACTGATTGTTTGTGATTGCGCGAAACCTTTTCGGGTATTGTGGAAGGAATGTGAGAGATATTGCTAGAGATAATTTTGTCTTGACATTCGATATCATAACTATGATCGTCGTAATTTGAAGTAGATTGTGGAATAGCAGCCACTAATATATTCGAGAAAGTAGGAGATATAAATAAATATTGTCGAGTTAATAATAATTGACCGTATAAGTATACCTATATCTTCCTTTTCGGTAATGTCTGTTGTGATAACTGTTGCTTCATATGGGATACTATAAGGTATATTTATTTTCATAAAATATTTTTTTTATCAGTGAATATATATAAAATTAAAAAAAAAGGAAAAATAATACTCGAATAATACTTTCAGGAGTCAAAATAGTTTATTCACAAATTTATCTGTCATATTTGTCAAGTAAATTATGCTTGATTTTTTATTTAAGTTATCAAAATAATATTTATAACTATAAATAAATACAGTTATAAAATAATACTTGTAAATAAGATACAAAAATACTTGAGTTATAAAAAGATACAAAAATTTTCAAAATAAATTAATATCTGGATGAGATAAAATCAATTGAATAGTATTAGGTCAGGACAAAATATTAATCCAAACTCAAACCATGTTTTCACTAATTTAATTTATGTAATTTTGCTACAGATTCACTTCGATACTCAAGGTACCCGTATATCTGAAAATTTTATATAAAAGATTTTTTAAAAATGGGTTGAACATGTTATTTTGACTCGTGTTATATAAATAAATTTCTTCCAAACATTTCTATAATACACCCAAATCAATAATATAGTAATTAAAATTTCGATATAGCATTTATAAATATATATAAAAAATATAAGAATAAAGTAATTAAAATACACTATCTTGAGAGCATCGATTTGCAACTCGTTGTTGGGAATAAAGGAACTTTCGGGACAAGATAGGGAGGGAGGGCTGGTGGTGGTTATCTGCGATTTTTCTTTCTTCTTCATCCGCTTTTTTTCTCGCCTGCGAGCAGCTGCTGCCTTTTTGTTTTCCTCACGCGTTTTTTCTTTGTCAAGTTCTTCCAAGAGGTCGGAAGCGTTTTTATTAGCCTCTGCAGCTTGGCGATCCTTCGCAGATACGATTATGTCTACACATTGCTGGCAACGTTTTACGGCATCCTTATAATTTTAAATGTAGTAAGGTCAGCGCAAAATAATTCTGCATCAGCGTTATTAAAATTATAGTCACACCCCTCTTAAAAAAATTCCTGTTTATTATGGCATTTAATTCCAACGCCGACCTAAAGGCAGACATTTGTCCGAGCATATAAAAATTCGTTATTTTTAGAGAGGAAAAAAAATTTAATTTTTTTTAAAAATATTTTAGGAGTTGCCTGAGCCAGAGGCTTTTCGAAACTATTTATTAAGGACTATAAGAAGGACTTAATAGTTTATCGATGAAAATTAAATATTTTGCTAAATAAAAATGTCAAAATAAAATCTTTTAAAAATCAATTTTATTGTTGGTTTTTTTTTAAAATGATTATTATGAAAAAATTGTTTTATTTTTTTCTAATCTCTCATGTGTTCAAAACTTTAAATTTTTAGGTGTTTGGAAAATATTAGTGTTGTTAAGGGAACTTAGTGTTACCAGTAACTAAGGCAAATTTAAAATAACTATAACTGTACGCCAATTTTTATAATATTTTATTGTCAAAGTCAGATAAAATTTTGAGCTCAAACTTATGAATTATAATATTGTGATATTTAAATTAATATTACATTGTCATATATTTTCTCAGTGCTATTATTTCTTTATTTAATTGTTGATTTGATTAAAATTTCCTTTTAATAAAATTTATGATGGCAAAAATTATTTTGTATAACAAAAATGATGAGTTATAAAAAAAAATATAAGGGTAACTTTTATTAAAATGCAACAAGTTACCCTTTAATAATGTAAATAAATGATTACTTTTCAAACATATTTTTGGTACCACTTAGAAAATCGAAAACTAACTTTATCAAAAAATTAAAATTTTGCTTTTTTTTAAAGTTTGAAAAATTAACGATCAGCTTTTGCATCATTTTAGCCTAATTGTACAAAATTTCCTATGCATTTTTCGACACAATCGGAAATATTTTTTTTTAAATAAATTATAAGGGGAGAGATGACAGGGAAATATAAAACTTGCCCGAATTCATAAAAAAAATAGAGCCAACCCTCTCTAATCTCATCAGAAAATAAGTGGTGTTAAAGGGCTCGGTTGAGCCTATAGTTAAAACCGCCTCACTCAATTTATTTAGCCGGAAACCGGAAACAAGTCTCGAGATTTCGCTAATAGACGCCCAGACCCTTGCGCCATCTACGACCTAAATCCTCAGGCTAGCGCAATATATTTCTGGATACAATATTAAGTTGATCGTTTTTAAAAAACGGTTCAAATCGGACCGTTTAACAACGCTAAAAAAAATATGTTATAACCTTATCGGTGAGAGTACTGATGAATCTCATGCATTCAGTATCGGAAGGATATTGATTGACGTGTTTAACGAGCCACCTGATGGCACGTATATGTCCCTTTCTAAAGGCCGCCATGAGGCATGTCACTTTTCTGTTGTCGTGGGTATCGATATCAGCCCCCTTTTGAACGAGATATTGAACCACGTCTAAATGACCACCTTGAGTTTAAAAATTCAATTAGATGTGATCGAAATTAATTATTTACTATAAAAGTTAATTAAATATATTATAATCACAATTGTTATTATTTATATAAAAAACATTAATTTACCGTTTGCAGCTAGCCAAAGGGGCGAATTGCCTTTCTTGTTTTTGACTTCAATTTGAGCTCCACTGCAAAATTAAAAATAAAATAAAAAATAATGAAAACGAATAAGCCAAAAATACACTAAAATTAACTTTTCTGCGCTTAATGTTTTTATAAATTTAAAAGTTTTGTTCCTATAATTATAATTAAGATAATTTAAATAAAATTAAATCAGGGTTATAAATGTATCAATAAAAAACTAGAAGATATATTCCATTAGACATTGGCTGGGTGCTCGTTAATGTATCAATAAATAACTTAAAACATTCCAAATAAACATTATGAATGTATATAAGAAATAGTGTCAAAGTAATATTAACTGAGTTGAAATTGTAAAATGTTAAACACTCTCAAGCTTAAAACAACGACAAAAAAATATAATTGTGTAACTTTTGAGTGGTTGGTAAACTAGGGCATAGCTATAACTATACACCTGAATTTTTTAATTTGACCTTATTGTAGTGTATTTTATGGTGAACTATGTTTCTGCATTATTTCGTGTATTTTTATTGCAAAAGCTTATACTAATATTTAAATAAAATTAACAATTATTGCATCTTTTACATGAATTTACATAGTTAAAATATGAAATAAAATATTTAAGGTTTTGCCCTTTTCAAAACTATTAATAAAAAAATTCTCGTAAATTTTATATTTAAATCTTAAAAATTTTCACATCTAAAATATCATAACTTAATATAGAAATTGAGTGAAATATAAAAATTCTAAAAATGGGAATGAACTTCCAACCAATTTTTTCTGCCTTACTACTATGCACCACCTAACTACACGCGTTGTTTTCCCATTTAACTAAATGGTGAATTTTAAGAGTGTCTTCAAAAATTTGAAAATGTCTCGACATAATTTCTAAATATTGCATGAAAATAAATATGCTCCAGGACCAACAGAAATTAGCCCAATTTACCAGCAATGTGCTCATAATGCAACTCAAAATTTAATTTTAAAAAAAAATGTCAACTTTTGGACAAGCAACTCAACAAATTTGATGTGGCCCTTGTCAGCTGCAATGGTTAGTGCAGTGTCTCTGGAAGATGGAACCGGTGCTGCATTAACGTCTGCTCCCTTTTCGATCAATACCCTCCCAACTTCAACGAATCCACCTGACGCTGCTTCCATGAGAGGGGTTAATCCAGTCTATATATATAATAAAAAATGTAAGATTAAATTTTTCACAAATAATAAAAAATTCTAGTAAATTTCATAAAATATTAATTTTTTTAATTCTACAGTATAAACCTGGCTATAGTGAATTTTTGGGATAGGGAACTTAACTTCTAAGGACCTAGCATTATTAACTTTTTTTAAATGACAATATAAATACTTGGGATAGAAGAAAAAATTAATCCCTAAAAGTTGGCTATAGCAAGGTTCTAATGTTTATGATGGAGTTATGAGATAAACCTTAGCCCTGTGCTCTATGTTGGCTTTGTACTCCAAAAAAAGGGAGACTACTTCATGCTTCCCCTGAAAGCATGCAAGTGTTAGTGCAGTGTTTTTGTTGGTCTCAATTTGTGCATTAATATCCGAACCCATGTCCAGTAATAGTTTAACTGCTGATAAATGGCCATTCATTGCGGCAAGCATGAGAGGCGATATGCCCAATTTGCTACCAGTTCTTTTATTTCAAATTATTGTTATAAAAAATAATTCATTGGGTTTTTTGGAGATGATATAATCAATAATTAATTTTTAAATATTAGTTCATATAAATAAACCTCGAATTTATTTCAGCACCGTGGTTTAAAAGAAGCTTGATAATGTTGCAATGTCCACCAGATGCTGCAAGGCTAAGAGGTGTATAATCTGATACGTTTCTGTGTTCGATATAAGCTCCATTGTTTAGCAATACCTCAACAACCTGAGTTGATTATACATATATAAATAGATGTTTTAAATATACTAGTTAATTTAAAAATCTACTTTATTACCTCAAATCTACCACTAGAACAAGCTAATGAAAGAGCTGTATCTTTTGTTCGATCAGACTGAGCTTCAATGTTGACTCCATGATTCAGAAGAAGTTGGACAATATTAGCTTGACCGCTTGTGGCAGAAATAATCAAAGGGGTAAAACCTAGATACCCAAAAATGTTTATATGGTTATAAATAATAATTCAATATTGTTTACCCTTTTTGTCACGATGTTCAATAGAACTGCCTCTTTTAATAAGTAATTCTACTAATTCTGGTGGGCCTCCAGCACATGCTAGGGTAAGTGCTGTATCATGGTTGCTGTCAGTCTGTGCATCAACTTCTATGGCAGGATAATACTTTTTAATCATAGATAAAGGATTTCCCCCCATTGATGTACAGATCTTATTCTCAGAAATACTTTGCAATTGTGAAGATTGGGATGGCAAAAGATCTAGAGATTGATCATCTTGCAATGTATTTGTTTCCTGTTTTATAGCTAACAGTTTTTCTTGCGAATTTTTTGTATCCATTGTATTATCGTTAAGAATAGTTCGTGCAGTGGCAATATTAGCATCCAAATTATCTAAATAAAAATAATGAAGTAAAGAGGGCTGATATATTTAAATCAACCTGCAGATTTTTTTTAAAATAAATTATTTAGTATTTTGAATTTATTATCGGATTCATTTTTCATTCTCTTACATTATATTTATTTAAAAATTTTACAAAAATTGGAGTGTTTTCTATGAGGATTTTGTCACAAACATATGATACTGGCTTAAATATTTATAATATAGGACAGCTTCAAATTAATTGAGTAATAATTAATAAATACCTCGTTTATTAACTGAAATTGTTTGATTTAAGTAATAATTATCAATGCAATACAAAAAATTTAAAAACAAAAGCTCCCTTATTAATTATTGTAAGAACAAACATTAACTTTAAGAACCTCGGTCATACACTGAAGTATTTTTCGATTTAAATCGTGACTTAAAAAAATAAAAATCGTATTTTCCTCCAAAATTCAAATTATTGCCAACCCTGAATAGAACTACTTACCATCATTCACGCTTGGAAGGATCATGTTTCCTGGGGGTGGTATCAACGTTTTTTTAAATTTCTTGATATTTTTATTAGCTGCATCAATATCCAACTTCTCCAAGTTTAAATCCAATGCTGCTGCATTCAAAAAATTTGCGTATTCTAAGTTCTTGAAATTGACTGGAGGATACCCAGTGAGGTTCATTTCGTTCATTGGTGGGTGAAGCATGAGTAAATTGTTCAAAGAAGATAGATTAGCATTGTTCGAGTTAGGTAATGAGAGGTAAGGATGCACGAGTTGAGGTGGCCCCCCAGATTCCATATTTGTAAAAGAATGATGATGGAAATGATGCAAATGTTGGGGAAGAGTGAAAGAAGGGTGAAACGTTCCTCCGGGCCTATTCATAATGTTAGCATTAGTAATTATGCCGTTATTGAATTGACTCTGAAGCTGCTGAAATTGCAGTTGCTGGTGGTGGCTGAGAACCGAGGTTTCGTCCGGGCTCTGGTTCATGTTGATAAAAGGGTGGTGGTAACATGGGAGAGACTTGTGAAAATTCGGTGTTCCTGTTAAGTAATTGCCTTTCGTAACTTGCAAGTGCTGATCATCTCTCTTGGACACTAATACATTTTCGGAGACTGAGGAACAACAAACATGATTTTCTTTGCTGAATACATCAGTGTTTTCGAACTCTTCCTGATAATTTTTGTTTGAAACAATCGTACTTTGATTACTCAATTTTAAGTTAGCCAAATCACCGGGATGCTGTTCAGTTTCATTAGTAGGATCTACGAAATAAGGGAATTCGTTAATGGAATCAGGATGATAAAGTTGTTGATCGAATTGGTTTAATTGCAATAATTGGCAGGGGTCGAAATTTTGTTGCTGATTTAATTCTTGTTTTTGTTGGAGAGTTAAATTTTCAAACGAAGCAGCAAATTCATCAATTTCACTAATGTCAATGATATTGTCAAGACCTATAAAAAACATATAGAATTGTATAAAAAATATTAGATAATAAGTAAAATTTACTAAATTTTCCTAGGGCATCAGAATCAATTCAATAGAGATAAATTGTAGGGAAAAATTTAGTGCTGTAAACATTTCTAAAAAATTGAACGCGTTCGCGTTCATTGACAAAAATCGAACGCGTTATAAAATAAAATCATTATTCAAAACTTTATTTTATTTAGTGTTGATTCCTGAAATTGTTTGATTCAATAAACTAAAATCTAATTGTCACGGTCAAGGTTAAAAAATACTTTCTATATTTATTTCAAGATTTAGATAGTTTGTTTAAAAAATATGAAAGTGCAATATAAAATGTGTAAAAAAAATATTTGTTCATTTATTAACTATGGCTGCTTTGTTTTAAAATCATTCTAACAAACGAATTAGCTGCATTTTTTGGATATTATTTATATATATCTCTCATTCATAAGAGGTCACTGCTTTTTAAATATTATGTCTCACCTTCATGTACTCCTTATTAAGCCCTTTTCAGGCAGAACGTTTTTATCAAAGCGTTTTTTGGGTAATGTTACCAGCAATCAATTTTTCAATTTTCCAAAAAAAATGCTAACTTTTTAAAAATTACTTTTTATATAATATAATATCCTTAAAAATACAATCTAGATCACCATTTTTTTAATCGTAAATAGAAAACAGCTGGTTGGATTTTAATAACGATTAAATGGCGTTGTTGCTCTGGATTATTATATTTAAAAAATGAATTCTAAAATTTAACTGTTTTTTGGAAATAAAAAAAATTGCTGGTAACTACCCAAAACCGCGTTGAAAAAACGTACCCTGTCTGTAAATTGCCTTAAAGACACCAAATTTTGAAAATAACTTGGTAGTGTCAAATAAATAAAATAATGCGGTGTTACACTTGTTATCGGGGCCCTGGTTAAATTGTATTTTATTTATTAAATTATCAAAATTTGTCCACAAATTAAAAACAATATCTAAAAAATTTGTAATATAATTACTGTTGATGGACTGCTGCTGTTGTTGCAAAGCGAGCCTTTGTTGATGAAGTTGTTGTTGCTGTTTGGCAAATTGAAGTCTCCTCAGTCTGTCAAACTGAGCCTGCTGGGAACGAAGGCGGGATTCCAGCTGTTCAGGCGTGAAGGAAACCATCACATCATCTTCTTCCTCGTCCTGTTCCTCGTCGTAATCCTCCTCCTCATCGCCAGCTTGGCTTCCTTCTTCCTCTTCTTCCCCGTCTCCCGATTCTTTGTCCCTTTCGCTGTCGACTTGTCTCCCCTTGGCTGAGAGGCCTTGCCCCTTACAAAGTCTCTTTTGCTGATTATCACCACTACCACTTTGTTGAATTTGTTTCTGGGTGTTAGCATTAGCAGCAGCCGCAGCACTGGCCATGTACCTTTCTATCTTACGAACGGCTCCATTTATGCTGGCGGCCCATTTGTCGGTAGTTCGAATCTCTCTGTGAAATGTTTCTGCCGCTCTCTCGTCTACGTCACCAAGCAAGTGGGCCAGGCTGTAATTGTTACGGAGAAGATCCTTGAGATGACCTATCTTGTCACCTATACGTAAAGCCATGCCTTTTATTCGATAGATTGAAAGAAAAAATGGAGATAAATAAGAAACCAAAAAAATGGTATAAAAAAATTTAATTAAACATTATATTCCTAAATTATGATAGTATGGTTAAATCACCTACCTTCAGCTGACTTTAAAGGGGACTAAACCAGTTTTTTTTACTTAAAAATCGTAGGCTTAATTTGGAAGATAAGTCAATTTATTAGGCTAAAAGCTTTCTAAGCCATCGTGAATTAAACAAAGTTAGGCGATTTCATGAAATGGAATTGTACCCTTGGTGGCTGAGAGGGACTTAAGATTGTAGCAAGGAAGAGTCATCGGGTTTGCTATGTTGTGGCTAGAGGAAGGAGTGGATGGCGTAAATGAAGAAATAGCACGAGAAGGAAGACCATCTAGATCGAGGGAAGGAGGAAGAAACCCTGCAAAAACGGAACAGGTTAATTTATGTATGTTAGCGGGCAATGTTTTTCAAGCAAAGGGCGTTTTTTATATGCAAAAATCTGATTTTACCGGAAATTCGTTCCAAGATGTTTAGAATACCTATCTTATGAATTGTGGACAATTTTGCCGCTAATTTTTGAATCATTTATCATTTTATAAGAAAAGTAAGTCTATAGAAAAAGGAGTAAAATTTATGTTACGTTCAAAGTTCGCGACAAAATTATTTCATAAGGTGTAGGGAGGTATTTCAAACACGATAAAATATATTTTCCATACAATCAGATTAGTAATTTTTAAAAAAAAAAACGCCCCTAAACCCATTATCGTATATATATATAAAATTAACCATAAAATTATTTATACGTATTATTCTCTATATAAACAGAAAAATTAGATACACGAATTTTTAGGGTGATTATTCCATTAAGGATAAACGCTTGAAGTTTTTTTTTCTGCTTTACCATATCTCAAACAATAAAAATTCTACCTATTTAATAACAAATTTTATCTAATCGATTCCCTACCATTTTTTTTATCACAATAATGATCCCAGGTTCCGGACCAGACCAGGGTTTGAAAACTCATTTCTCCCAACCCAAAATATTTAGTCTTATCAACTTGGGTCGGATTTTTTCGATACAGGAATTTTTTGTTATTCTATCATTGATTTCTTATAAACAATTAGTCCGATGTCAATTTTTTTTTAATTTTTTAAAAATTAGATGTAATAAAAATGACTATTGAGGAGAGCCTTTTTACTGTCATTTTTACAAAAAGATGCTCATACATACACCTCTTCTTTAGTATACGGTTCGGGCCAAACAAGACCTATGTCTGCTGTTTCCAGGACCGAACTTACTCTTTTAACTTTCCCAAACAGGGATCTATACTGAACCCTCTTTTATATAAAAAAATTCACTTGCACCCATACTTAATCCAGCTAAAATTTTGCTATATCCAGAACTCTAGATTAATTTTCAAAATTTCGTATATTCCCCTTGATGTTAAAAACATGGCGATCTTATTCTGTACACACACTTAAATTGTTAAATAGATATCTTCTCTCAGTAATTGATATATAGACCTTTTATCGATAATATTTAAGGTCTTCACGACGGTAATTTTTCCGTGGGAATTCTGGGAATAACGAGAAATTTAAGAGAATTGATGATATTATTGCTTAAATTATAACTAACAATTTTCAATACATATATTATTGATTATACTAAAAATTAAAAAATACATTCGGGTAATATAAATCATACCCACATCTAAGTAATCATTTTGTGAAAAATTGTACAAATAATATTTTTGTTATAAAGGCAAAAACTATAAAACGTGAGCTACCAGTTTATTCTAAATGAATGGATAAATATATCTACATTTATAAGAAAAATTAGGATTTGACCTTTTTAATAGCATTCCTATTATAATTGAATCATAATTGGGTATAGCTAATCTATTATTTGGAAAGTTTTACATAGTCAAATAAAAATATAAACAAAAACTGTAAAATGTGAGCAAAGAGAACATTCTTAATAAATGAATGTATCCAAGCTATTCGTGACTATTTATATAAGAAAAACTAGGATATCACCATCATATGTGTAATCTATTTTGGGAAAGGTTGTATGGTCACATTAAAATATATTTGTATGGCTTAGGAAACAAAAACTATTAAATTGTGAACTACGATAATAATTTGAAATATACTCTCTAACTTTGAATAAATTCCCAGGGAATATGCTCGAGTTAACAATCCTGATAAAATTGCATACAAGTATTTTATTTTTATGATATTACCTATGGGTCCTTCGTTGACTCTCGAGGACATTAAGAAGCTAGGAGGTCCGGCTACCAATTTAACGTTATTATTAACAGTATTAAACAATGTCGGAGTATTCTGACGAGATGAAAGGGCGTTGGGGTGATGAGGCAGGAGAGAAACGTAATTGCTGACTGTCTGTAATGGTACATTTTTATGACTTTTGAGAGGTGTTTTAACGTTTTCTGGATCTACAAAGTTAATCGAAGTGGCATCTATGTTTTGAGACGATGTAATAGATAATTGCATTGTTTTTGTGGAAGATTCGTTCCCTTTCATATTTTTGATAAGTTTAAATTGTTTATTATGATTCGTGTTATCATAACAAAATTCGTATTTTGAAAAATATATTTTTTTTTAGATTATTGCAAAATGTGCCAATTGGGGAGTGCTGCCATCGTGGTCAAAATTTTACTCTAAAAATAATAATCAAATGTGTGATTAAGCAATTTTTTGAAACTCAGATTTTTTTTATGACTTATTATGTTTAATAACATGTATGAAATTACTAAATAAAAAATTATTTTTTGATGAATATAATATGACTCAAAATTTATGCTGATATTTTCTATGTGTTGATGTTATGTTATAAAATTTAAGCAATTCTCATTATTTAAAATTGATTTAATAAAATATATCGTCAAATTTGCATTTTTTGGTGATACTATAATATAATTAAAGGAAGGTTCCAAAAATTTTTTGGGAAGTTCAGAAAAAGGTATTATAATTTTTTTTATTTTAGGTCTCGAATTATAAAATTTTCTGTTAGCTTTTCAAAATTTGGGGTAAAAAAAATCCTCAACTCTGTAATGAGAGTTTTTTCCAGTTATCCACATTTTTTGTGAAAAAAGGATTAATGGAATTATGTTCATTTAACATATAATCTCTAAGTAACAGTAAATAAGTATGGGTAAGAAATTAAGGGTTTGGCCCTTTATCTGTATTGGTGCATCTCGTTTGCCAAAGGTCAATACCGCATTTCCCCCTTTATCCTTGGAATAGTTATAAGTCTCCTTGACAATAAGATTACTATTTCTTTCAAAAAAACATGCTTATTACTTTATTAACAGGTATATTTTCTCTTCGTGTACTTTCTTTATCATCTTTTGTTAATGGATATCGTTAAGCATTTCAAAAATAATGGTTTAAATAATTCTAAAATTTAGTGGATTTTTATTTTTTACCCTTAGGCTGGGCCATGCCTGAATAATTTGAAAATTTTTCAAAGACTCGTTTACAGTCGGTGGCTAACATTGGAGGTACCGGCCAAAATGAAGTATGATTATATCTCATATAACATAATTGTATATAACAGAGGAAAAAAAATTCTTATGTACTTGCTGTAATTGCAGAGGATTCATTTGTGTTTTCATCGAGGCTAAGTGTCTTCTGAATATCTGAGACCAGTTCTAATCTCTCATCTTTATCATTTTCCACTAGATGAGCGTTTAATAAATTATTAATATTTTTATCATCTGGATGTATGACCAATGGATTTTCTAAAATTAATTTTAAAAAAGTGGATTAATTAATTGAATAAAATTAAAGAATGGAAGATGATTGTTAATTAAATTTTACACGAAAATTTTGGATAAGCTTAAAACAGGATCATCACAGGATGGGTACTAGACAAATGGGAGGTACATACATTTCGAGCAATTGTATCTAAACATAAAGTACCTCCTCATAAAATAATTCCACAATTTTGTCTATAAAATTTTTTTTTAGAAAATTAGATATTCATGATATAAACACGTTTGCACTTTCCTTTTTCTAATTTCACCTTTATTTAATTTTCCTTCATTTATTACCCTCATTTATTTTAAAAAATATGCATAAGTGTTGTTAATTCGCTTGGTCGTAAAAAATTTACGACCCAATTTGGTTCACAGGTCTGCTCCAAGCATAGACCCGAGGTTCAGACAGGCGAACTGCATCGAACCTAATTTTTCAAACCCGGCCTGGTCCGCCATTTTTTTCATAAAGTTTTACCTGGCTCAGCCCATACCTTTTTTATGCTGGCCCGGCCCGAATTTATTTAAATTATAGAAATTAATTTTTATAATTACTCAAAAATAAACGGTATATGTTATATGACGTCTACTTTCTGTAAACAAAATCGCATATTCTTTATTTTATATTAAAATTGATGAATTTAGATATATTTTAAAAAAATTTCTTAAGTCCGACCCGACCCGAATTTTCTCAAAAAATATTAGTCACCAATCTCTAGTTCAGACCCATGGTTTAGACTCGGGATTCAGATGAATAATGCAATAGTTCAAATAAAAATTATTCACCAAAAGTATAGAGTAAGATAGTAAAGCCATGCAAGCAACTCAGCTTAGGGTTAAAAAATTTTTTTAAACGGGACCACCCTAGGGCTTTAGAAATACCAAAATGCTGGTTAGTAGAGGGAATATTTCAGCTAGACCATCCTAGTTCAGAATCAGATACAAACTTTCCAGCCTGATTTGTTTAATTTCATAGCTATTTTTTAAACATGTAATTGATTGATTTTTTTATTCCCAACTTTAGAAATGTATCTTAGAACAAGTAAATTTGATAACATCAGTTCCTAAATTCGGTAAAATTGAGCCTTGAATGGGATATTTAGAATACTTTTGAATCATTTTTATTTATGAGGGGGAGTAGCTTTTAAGAAGCGTCTTTTTGTCCTGCCTATTTCTGAAGATCAAAATAATATAAAATGTTCAATTTACACTTTTAATATAGTTTGTGTAATTGCTATAATTGGGTAATGGCTAAATACAGGCTAACTCGGATCAATCTTTAGGCACTATCTGAAAGAAATCCGTTAACATTAGGGATTTTAAATTATATCAATTTCTTCCAAATTTGAATGGCCCACATATCCTATAAATCCTACAAAAGTTTTGAAGAGGGTTAAATATATATATAAACTGATAATTATATATGTGAATTTAACATAATCTGGAAGAAACAGCTAGATCAAATTGTGACCATCAAAAGTACCCCAATTTGAACAAATATTTAATGAGATTAATGAAGTATAAAATAATAAACATAGCTTTGATTTATAATTAGAATGTATAATAACATTTCAGATTAGTAAATGCGAGTTATTTTTTCTTGATTTTCGTTTATCTGAACCCAACCCCGGGTCTATACCGTGGGTCATCGCGCTCTGGGCTTGTTTGGCCAATTTTTAGACCGAAACCCATCTGGGGTTGGCAAAACCAACCAATTAACAACACTAGTGTACATATTAAAAGAATTTACACATAAACTATATAATATTATATAAAAAATGTATAAAAATAAAATTTAAATGATTTCATTGAAAACTCCTTCGCTTCTGATTTTTACATAATATTTTAATATTTATTTTAAAAATATACCATATGTAATGTATCAATTTTTAATTAAATTACGTATTTTATCATTTGTAAATATATTAAATAACATCTATTCTTTTTAGTAAAATATTATTGTATTTGCATAAATTTTACTGCATTTTTAGTTACATTTTGAAGAAGTGAGCTGATTCTGTGCAATAAAGCCGACTTTATATTATTTTTGAGAATTTAGATAAGAGGATAAAGTGAACCAGTTTTACAAATATGTTAGAGGCTCATTGGAGTACAGAAATGGCATAAATAAAATTTAAGGAATCAATAATAATATTCACCGAAAGGGACGATGCTGGCAGTTCCGGTAAAATATTCTGCACAAATATTGCTAACAATGGCTGGATTAGGCAGCATTTGAGCTTCCAATTCCTTATTACACTCAGTAAGTGTCTGTAGATTGAGAATTGGAGCTTGTTGATTTTGTTGTTGATGTTGAATAAGAAGCTGTTTTTGTTGGAGCTGCAATTGCTGAAGCTGCTGGGTGGCAAATAGTTTCTTTTCCTTTAAAAGCAAAAGCTGTTGTTGCTGTAGTTGTTGGTGGGTCTGAAGTTGTTTGAGCTGTTGAAGATGCTGGAGGTGTTGTTGTTGTTGCTTTTTTATTATAAAAATTTTATTGACATTAATAATTTTGTATAAAATGTTAAAATATTTTGGTAAAATAATTTGATGAGGTATTAATTATATGATAAATAAATATGAATAAAAATTTCATCAATAAAACATTTACAATTTTCAAGGCTTGTCTCTCGTGAATCAATGAGGGAGCCAGTGATGAGGTTGATATTTCCGAGTTTATTTGCTTTAAAAATTTGGGGAAATCTAACAGAAGTTGTACTATATCTGTGTGGCCATTTTTGGAAGCCTCTATAAGAGCTGTAGAATTGTCCTATATATAGTAGTTTAAAAGATAAATAAACTAAAAATAAAAAAAATGTAATGTAATAAAATCGTTTATATAAAATTAAAAACCACGAGTATAAACAATAATAATATCCCTGTCTTTAAATAAGCTTGAAATTCTCAGTGTTAAACCTAACGTAATTATTACTTAAATCCATAACATTCCATTTTGTATTATCGGTGTAAATCTTTATGTATTGACAGATAGCATTAATTAACTTTCTTAATCTCCAAACCTTAAGCTTAAAGGTAGGATCAGCACCAAACTCCAAGAGGAGTTCAACTATGACTATATGTCCAGCGTATGCGGCCAACGAGAGGGCAGTGTGCTCGTTATTGGCAGTCGTTTTATTAGGGTCTGCCCCATTCTCAACAAGGAGTTTCACGACTGGGGCATGGCCATTGCGGGCTGCTTTTATTAACGGTGTTTTCCCGCCTTCACTTTCGTGGTCCTAATACATTTATTGTATAGTAGGGTAGAATTGAATTTTTGATTACATATTGTATTATCTGTTTAATCATTTTATAAAAGAATTATAAAGGTAATGATAAATTTGAAGATATAAATATATTTAAAAAATATTCGTATCTTTATTCAATTTACAATTTCAGCTCTGTAATGCAATAGAAGGGCTACTATATCTGTGTGACCATTTTCGGCAGCAAAAGTCAAGGCTGTATTACCGGGGCCTGTTTGGCCATGTGGGTTGGCTCCTATTATATTTATAATATGTGCATTCTTTTTATAATTTAATTAATAATATATATAACACAAAGAAATACACCACACACACTAATTTCAGTTATGGGTTAGATATTGGTAATAACATTTGATCGCTTATTCATGTTTTTATTAAGAGAACACTATTTAAATGAACTATACCTCTTACAATGGATTTCAAACTCTACAAGGTAGCCAGAACAAAGGGGTTTTATACAAACGAATTAGATTGACTGTTAAATAATAAAAAAGCCGAATTATTTGAAATTATTATGTAAATATAAATTGTGCTGTAACGATTCTAATCTTGTCAAAATTGCATTTAAAATTTATAATAAAATTACCAGCTAAAAGCAGGTAATGAACCAAATCCAAATGACCTTCCTGGGCTGATTCCATGAGAGGTGTATTGCAACCTATCTCGATATCAGCACCAGATTTGATGAGCTGATCAGCCACTTGCAAAAATCCTCCGTAACATGCTAGCGTTAAGGCTGTTTCTTGTGTTTCTTCCGTCTGGGCGTTCACGTTGGCACCTTGAGTAAAACCATATTTAATTTAGAAAAATTAAATAGAAATAAAATACATTAATAATTATAGTTGAGATTTTAATGAGTGTCGATATAATTCTTTTTATATCTTAATAAACGAATATTCAAATGTTTGATTAACTAAATATAAATTCACGGATATAAGTCTACCTTCCATCATAAACGGGATTCGCATAAAAATAGAAAGGCCAGGGGCCAGACCGCAAATTTTTTTTTAGATATAGGCCTGAATCATGGCCACCTGAACTTGCTTAAGGAAGGACCTCTTCAAAATACTTATTTTATTCCTATTTAAATTTTGTGCATTCAATTTTAAAATATTCAGTAAATAACTTTGAAAATTTATTCAATGTTTATTTATTTATTATAAAAAAAAATGATACGAATAAGATAATAAGTAAATCTTTCCCACCTGAGTTTTTTTATTAAACTTTATCTTATTTTTTTTTAATGCCTTTTATAATTGTGATATTCAATCATGCAAAAAAAAAGAAATGAGAAATAAATATGATATTCGTATATTTCGTGCCACAGATTGGCCTAAATTCTAATGATGATGTGACCAGGCAGGCTGGCTTTTCAGAATTCTAGAAAAAAAGTTAGGGAAAATAAAAGTTAAACGTGAAACCAATATATTCCTAAAAAAAATTAAAACAGGGTAGGTTTTATGTCTATTGATAATCAAAATCTGAAACCCATCACAATCTCAAATTATTTTTAAAAGAGAACATAAATTAAATAACTCGGGCATCGATTAGCGAATTTTAGTCAGCATATGAGTTGATTGTACCCAGTCAATTTTCTACACCCCTAAGATAAAAACATTTGATACTATTCCTACATGGCTAACCCTAAAGGATATGAGAAATTATATAAAGGAAAATGGAAAACGTGTCAAATCAACCAGGATTTGGCTGACTTTTTCAATTTTTACGAAATTTTATATATAAACTAAGGTTTGTGTAAACTAAATATGGGCAACATTTTGGCCTTCTATTTTTAAAAGGGCTTTTTAAAAATAGTAAGTACTAGCCTTATTTGATTACTGAATTTATTTTATTATAAACGTGTTAATTATAATCCATCATTAATTGAAAACCAAAACAAGTAGAAAAGTTCATTGGTGTGCTTCTACCCCTTATATCTGTAAATAACAACTATCAGGCTGAAATTTTGCCCCAGATAGAGGTTACACAAAGCTTTGTTTGTATAAATTTAGTAAAAATCGAAATCAGTCTTATTTTCGAACGTTCCTCAACCTGACAAGCTATTACCTCTGTTGATCAGGAGATTCACCATATCTTTGTGACCTTCTCGAGCTGCCTCCATTAGCGGAGTGTAGCCCTCATCGTTAATTTCTTCCAAATTAGCTCCCCTTTCTAGAAGCAAGCAGGCCAATTCTACATGACCTCCACAAGCAGCTAAGGTTAAAGGCGACTCAAAGCTATCTGGAGGCATATTCACCTATGGTATGAAATAAGATAATGATATAAAAGAGGGTACATTTATAGTCTAATTCTGAATCAAATTTAATATTTATAAGATTTAAGTATACCTTCCTATTTAATTTTTAGGCTAATCTAATTCAAACTTGCTCCAATTTTTGATTATTATATATTTATTTTTCATTTCAAAAAAAAATATTTCTTATTAAAAAAAATTGGCATAGTAGGTTGTTCATTCAAAAAAAAATTTAATGAGCATGAAAAATGTTTTGATATTTAGATATATATATATATAATTTACAATAAAAGTTTATATCTACATTCTAAATTCATTTAAAGACTGTATTGTGTATATTAGAGGCAAAAAATGAAATTAGTATTTTTTACTTGAGCACCATGATCCAATAACAATTTAGCAACTTCCAAATGTCCATCCATAGACGCCTCCATCAAAGCTGTATGCATTTCTTCAGTTTTGTGTTCATGATCAGCTCCGGCTTCTAACAGAAATCTAACCATCTCAAGATTCCCTGAATTCAATTTTGAAAGAAAAAAAAAATTAAAGATCAAAATTAAAACCAGGGTTTAAAATTCTCTTCAAAATAAATAAGTTTTTTAAGAGAAACCTCAAACAGCAGATTTTTGATCAAATTTTACCTAAAATTCCAAATCATTTTGTGCTTATATTAAGAATGTACCTTAATATTTTTTATTGGATCGGGCCAATTATGTATCTTTTTTTTAAATATTGGTCAATAGTTCAATCAAGTAAAATGGTATATTTGTTTCAAATTTCAGCATTGATGTTTAATTTTGTCAATTAAGAAAGATATTTATTAAGTTATGAACATTCATTTATAATTGAAGTGATAAATATTTAAAAAAAACATACCTAATTTTAATAAAATTAAAACAATTTACATTGATCATGATTAGATTAGATGGAATACTACTCTCTACACACAATAGAAATACTTTTGAAGCACAAAATGTTTAAATGATTTCATTATAAAAATTAATGAAAACAGAGATTTTCCATATTCTTAGATTGATGCCTAAAAAAGGTTAATTAAAATTTGATAGCAGCACATTTTCAATGACTTATATTATGATTATAGTATAGTCACCAATATAGTATATAAAAAAAAGTAGACAAGTAGACAAGAAAAATTAAAATGGGTATAATGACAGATTATGGCCAATATCAATACAATAAAATGAGATTGGCTCTAAAAAGTGGCATCTATACACTTTAAGTTTTTATGCATAAAAAATGTTTCATGATTGAAATCATAAATTTTTTTAGAAAAATATCTTGACCTTTTTTTTAAAAAAAACCTTCAATTATGTGATCTTCAAAAAATATTTGCTCAAAATTTTTGGCAAACAAAATCTAAAAAAAAACAGAGAGCCTAATAGTAAAATTTTATAAAACATACCTTTATAGCATGCCAATGTAAGGGCACTCTCTTTGAACTCGTTAGAGTGGGCATTTATGCTAGCACCTCCTTCGTTCACCAATATGCGGGCTATGTCAACATGGCCCCCTGTAGCTGCTTCCATTAATGCAGTGTGGCCATTCTCATTCTGATGCTCCACATCAGCACCGTTGCTTAGTAAGAGTCGCACTACTTCACAGTGTCCACCTATACAGGCATAAGTCAAGGCTGTGTTACCTGTATAATTTTATTTTTGAATAGAGGTTATACCAACTCGTACACCACCTTATATATCGTTAGGTCTAGAATTGGAGTGCTCCCTTAGACAATTTCAAAATTTTTGGAGTTAGAAGTGGGTAATAGCCTTATTAATTAACCAATATAGTATATAAAAATAAAAACTAGATTAAAAAAAATATTAATTTTGCCAAGGTTATAAGCTCTGTCAAAATTGATTAATAAGCTTTTCCTATATTCGATTTTCTCATTTTTAAACATTTTCACCAAGTGGACCTCTCCAATTCTGAGCCGACGATATATTAAAGTTTGACAAAGAATATAATATTAGCATGTTGGCTTTTAATTACATAAAAATAATATGTGTTAGGCAAGTTGTTAAAGGTAGTGTGCTATCTCTTTGATAGCTATAGCTAATAGTGTACTACTTTTAAAAAAATAAAATTTTAGACAAGAAATATAAAATATAATTTTATTTTATGAATTATAATTTAAATTTGAAATTTATATTTCAAAATTTGTAAACCCAAATCAACTAGTATAAAATATCAAAATTAAAGGGATATAGATGTAATAAGTTCATGTGAGACATATTGAAACACAATTAAATTTTAATTCACTAAATATACAAATGATTATTTTATAATTTTTCATATTTAAAAAATTTAGCCTCGAGTGCTAATGTTAAAATCACCTAGAATTAGGCATGATATTATTGGAATAATTTTATTATTAAAATGTAATAAATAAATAAAAAATAATTATTATTACATCATTTATAGTCCTTTTATACAAATTCTTTTATAATTAATAAACTTAAATGTAAATGTTGAATTTTTTATATACATAAATGAAATACATATAACCAAAAAAATAAAAAAGATTTAATAGTAATTTTTAAAAAAATTAGTGGTAGCTAATAGCATACTACTTCATTTTGACAAAAGTTGCAAAAATGTTTCTATCTTTTTGGCAAAAAGTGGTAGCATTCATTTTAAAAATAACATTTAAGAACACTTGTGAAAGGAGTAAAATCAGCCATATATTTACCTCTTATAGCTATTTAAGTTGTAATTAATTAAATATTAAATTTGATAATAAGTGCCTTGTAATAGGAAAAATATTAATATAAAGGTTATCATATATCAAAAAAATTTAAAATAACTAGAACCTCCATTTCTAACTTATTTATATTTTATTTAGACTGTGTCCAAAATATCAATAAAATTTAGTTCACAAACTTTCAAAACTTTATGATAATAAATAAGAATGTAAAAACATGTTCAAAGCATAATTCTATAAATTCTATAAATTTCAAAAATTAAACAAACTATAATATGCAGTTTTTAAACTTTTATAAAATATTAAAAGATTATGGACATTTGAAAATACATTATAAACAGTAATTAGCACTACTACATAATATTTTTGAATTTTTTAAAAAATTTAAATGTTGAAAAATATATTTTAAACCGGGTAAATTTGCAAAATTTATCAAAAAAATTGCAAATATAAAAATCAGAAATGCACCTATGACAATTACTCACAGTATGTGATCTGTCAATAATGGTATTGGCATGTGCCTTAAATTTTAACCAATGACTCAGTTGCTCATTTAACAAAAGTTTATATATAAATTTATAAAATGAAAGAAGGTGCCAATCTTTATTTTCTATTTCTTTTAATGAATTTCATAAATTAATTATAAATAATAAAAAAAAATTGATATCAGCTTTAAAAGATGGCATTGCTGCATCTATGCTAAAAAATGTTGATGACAATATATATATTATTTTAAGGCAAAATAAGGAATTTTTTGTTGTTTCAAAATATTTTATAGCAACAATCTCCTGGATATGCGATGATGACCTTATATAATAAAGAATTAACAGCCACAAACCCAGTTATCTTTTAAAACCATAGTTATAAATATTAATTTGTTTTAAATATATAAAAAAAAGTAAAATGACTGACTTTTACATCGTTGACCTTACATAATCGAGTAATGTAAAATCAAAAATTTTATTCTAAATATTAGTGTTGTTAAACGACTCATTTTGGGCCGATTTTTAAAAAACAGCTGACTCAGTATTTTAGCAAGAAAAAATATTGTTTAAGTCTAGACATTTCTAGAATATATGTCTAGACCTTGGTTCCTTCTCCAAGCAAAATCTTCAGGCTCTCGTAATACTTTTCTGGATGAAATATTGAGTCAGCCATTTTTAAAAATGGGCTCAAAACGTGCCGTTTAACAACACTACTAAATATATAATCTTAGAATTTTTTTTATTAAAATTGAAAGTGGTTAACTGAAAATCTTACTTTTGATTTGATTTGGAATGAATTATGGGGAAGGGGAGGGGGGTATGTTAATCTTACCAAAATGTAAGATCAGTTATAATAAATTAAAACAAATTAAAAGTTCAGATATTATGGTTTAAAAAAAATTGTGCAAAGCAAAATTCAAATTAATCATAAAAATTTATTTAAATGGCTAATTAGTTTGGTAATTAATATAAAAATTCCCATGCTAAAATTTTCTAAATTATACATCTAGACATATATTTATTGTGTATAAATTGACCAAAAAATTATAGTAAACTTGTTTTTCGTTATGAAAATTTCTAAAATCAGCTGATCTAATTCCATCCAAGTTATAAATTTTAATTTAACACAAATGTTGATTAAATTAAATTTTATGTTTTTTTCACAATAATATAACTACAATATTATTCTCCAAGTAAAAATTCTCAAAATGCAAGAACTTCATTAAAACAGAACCTATTCCAAAGATTTGGAATGTTTTAGCAGCAAAATGAAAGTGAGCCTGTGTTCTCTTATAACATCAAAAACTCATGTGATTGCAAATTTCTAAAATATTATCCTTTTTATATAAATATCTCATTTCTCTCATTAAGTTTTAATAAATGTTGAGAAAAAATGTGACATAATAATGTCCCCAAACAAATAAAATAAAAAGTTTATAACAAATTTTATTAATTAATGCAATTTACTTATAAATAAACTATCAAATTCATATTTATATCAAAATAAATCAGTGTGCAAGCACAATAAAATATCAAAAAATAATTTAATATATAGTATTATGTAAAATACAGATAACAATTCCATTCAAAAGTTTTATTTTATTCATTTTAATGTGCATACATAAGTATATATAAAATATTTATCACAAATAGAATACCTGATAGAGATTGTGCTTTGGGATCAGCATCATGTTCCAAAAGTAACTTGACAATTTCCATATAACCACCACTAGCAGCTTCCATCAATGGAGTGGTATCACCTTTTATCCCCCGCTCTTCTATGTTTGTATTCATAGCTAGTAAAACCTATATATAACATTTTATTTTATTTTTTTAATCTAAAAATTTAGAGAAAAACTTGACAAAATTTATATAAGAATGATTATGAATGAAAATATATAATATAAAACAAAGGTACCTGAACAAGTTCATAATATCCAGAAGAGCATGCCAAAGAGAGTAAACTTTCACCTTCTTCCAAACTCTCAAGTGCTCTTTGATGCAAGGCATCTAAATTTGCTTGGCTGTTTAAAAATATATTAGATTAGTTTTAACAATAATTTATACTCATCAGGAGTTTGAATTCCTTTCGATGATCCTGATTTAATTCTAGTTAGTGTAAGAGCAGCAACTGCTTCTTCAAGTGCACAGTTGACAGATGAAGTTAATTGTCTTAGTATCTCAGGATCTGTAACACCTTTGCCATCATCTGGTGAAAGATGTTTCAATCCTATATCAAAAATTAATTTATCATCAAGAATATTTGCATATATCATGTTACCTGCTTCCTCAAATAATTGAGCTAATTTTATTTGAGCTTCAGGTCCCAAGAAATTTAAATTACAATGAGTAGAATTATTACATTCAACCTAAATTTGTGTGATAAATATTAGATTATATAAATATTGTATGATTGAAAAATTTTCATACCTCAGATGATTCATCATCACTATCAGAATCATTCATCGTATTAATCTGGTTTTGTTTTGCAATTTTTAAATTTTCAACAGTATTATTAGAAAATTGTTGTAAAATTTTATTATCTATATATCGTTTTTCATTTATTAAATCTTTTTTCATTATTTCTTTATTTTGCGACATACCATACTAGAGAATAAATATCACTTCTCTCAAAAAAAACATTCTTATGTTAAATTATTTAATATAATAGACGCCATTTGCATAAACCGGAATATGCCGATATCAATTATAAATCCTTAAGGTATCCATATAAATAAGTATGTAAAAAAGATATCCTCTATAATAACAAACAAGTGTAAACTTTTTATTATATATTCGTATCAAGTTTAAGAGTCAAAACATTAATTTAATTATATAGAAGGTATAATTTTATATATATTAAAAAATATATATGACAAAAAGTAATATATAGAAATTATACACCAAAAATTATAAAAATGATTAAAAGTTTATAAAATAGTAAGATTAAATAAAATAAAAAACAAATATAGTAATGGCATAGATTCGCAATTGATATGAGGATGTTACATTTAGTGGTTTTTTGAATTGGAGGAACCTAAATATAAAATAGAAATATATCCTAAAAAATTTAAAATTATATAAATTAATATAACGGGAAAACATAACCAAAAAAAAAAGGAAAAAGAAAAAGTAAAAGTATAAATTACTAAAAAGCGAAAAATTAAGTGAAAGTAAAAAAAATTAAAAAGTGAACTAAATTATAAAAATTGTGTCTTTTATATAAAATTATCATAATCCGATAATAAATTTCGTCAGATTATAATAAACTTTAATTTATTATTTAAAAATTTATATAAATTCAATATTTTTTCTATTTTCATAACAAACAAGCATTTACATAATGTTTAAACAACAAACTTAAATCTTGAACTTTATCTAATCTGAATAATTTCCTTTTATTCATTTCTCCTTTGTATATTACAACACCCTTCTACTTAAATCAGACCCACCATTCCGCGAATGACTAACTTTCTTTCAATTTCAATTTTACTGAACTTATATCTCCACTACTTCTATTCTTAGTCTTTAATGTCTTCTAAGTTCTAACGATGGTTGTCTATTGTCTAAGTTTCTTCACTGCTAAGGACTGTGTATCCGATTATAATCTGAAATTCTTGAATCCTTCTGTTTCTTGTCAACCCCTGGTAAACGATTATTTCTTGATCTCTATAGGTAATTAACGAACTCGATTCACGCATCTTCTCACGATTCACGATGAATTCTTCTAATCTCTTTTTAATTATATTTCGTTTTAATTCCTTTGGTAAATTATCCTAGACTTAGCTTGTTTCTAACGGTTTCTATTAATTAATGATTAGCATATTATTTGGTAAACGATGACGACTTTTGTTAACGATTGTAGCATGACAGCATTGACCTGTCGTCCTTGATAGTCACCTATTTCTAATATTCTTTTATATTAACCAATTGGCTCATTAACTCTGTTAACGTCTGAGAATAATTTGTCTACTAATAACAATTGTTTCCAAGAATTATGGTCTCTATGATCATCAACTTTCGTATCTTAGACTAAAGTTTCCGTCAACAATTGGCGATATTAGTAAGCTATTAACGATTACAGCATAAATGTCTCGAACATCTGTTCTATCTAGTTTCTTGTTTAAAATGTTCTATTGTAATTGATTAACGCTTTTTCTCAGTAAATGATTGGCGATAATTTTTCTGCGATTACTATTGTTACCACGAATTCTTGTCTCTATGATCGTCGATTTTCGTATCTTAGACTAGAGTTTCAGTTTGGTCAGAGATTAACTATTGCAGCGTGAACGTCTTGAACATCTGTTCTATCTAGTCTCTCGTTCTCTTGTAATTTTTTAGCTACTTTCATCTACTTGTAACTGTATCGATCTTTTAGATTTCTGAATCTTCTACGACAGTTTGCCCTAGCCAAGATATCGACTTTTTTTATATTAAAAAATTAATTTATTTAGACAAGAAATGTAAATCGTTCAATTAATATTTTTTTTTTAAAAAAAGGTAAACAATTTTTAATATATAACTTTTAAAAAAAAGGTAGACAATTTTTTATTATATAATACAAAATGACAGTTCAATATTTTTTTATAATACAAAGATTTATCACATCTAAAAGAGGTCTGAAAAACCCGGTCCGGCCCGCTCGACCCAATATTAATTTTTAAACCAAATTCTCTGCCAGTTAATAATTTTACCAGTCTCGGCAAATTTCATTTCTGCTTTGAGCTCATAAACTCGTATATTTTAATTTTTCCATCCCTCCTAGCATTTATGAAAATGGAATTCCGAAAATATCTTGAACATATGATTAAATTAAACTTTATGGGCTCAGGCCATTACTAAACAAAATTAGGGGTTTGGGGTCTGATCTCACATCGATTTGCTCTTACTAATTTATTTTGAGTCTATTTTATAAACCCATCATCAATGCTCATCTCCAAAAATGTCGTTGATGTCCCATCCTATAAGCTCAATTAAGATAATTGAGATTATTTTTAGCTCGCTGCGTAAAATATAATCTAGCATGCTATCAACCGAACGATTCATCTTCACTATCTTCAATAGTGTAGCAACAAAATCTTACCCACAATTGGAATTTGCATTAATTGTACGTTAACTTCCCATCACATCTTCTCTGGCTGCAGAACTCCTAAAGAAAACAAAGGAAGGCACAGTTTACACTGCAGACTGTGTAAAGGTCGTATCCTCAGACACAACTATTTCAATTTAATTTAAATTGAGTACAAACAAACCGTTAAACCAAATGAACCGTTAAATTTTCTGAATCGTAACCCCAAACCGAACAGTTATAAATAAAATATAAAAAGAGCGAACTGAACTGTTATAAATATTTTAAACCGGTTCAAAACGGTTTTAAAAAATAATTAATTTTAATTTATTAACCTATATTTGTAATTTTGTGATAGTTAATAACCTTTGTACCTCAGGTTTTACCCGTAATTGAAAATAGGCGTTGGAAAAATCTACCTTTTAAAACTACATACTACTCTTCAAATTGGCCAATATTTCCTCAATTTGAGGCAACTGATATTTGACCTCCACTACCCACGGGTTTTGCGTGACCCAAAAATCTGCGCATAAAAGAAACTTTCCATTCTGCACCGGTACCAATGGTGTCGCCCATTCGCTATATTCTATAGGACATACTATGCCTTTTTGCACCCATTGATCCAATTCCTTATCCACTTCATTTCGCCATTCAAACGATATTCGCAGTAACGCACAAAATTTTGGCACATGTCCCTCCTTTAATTTGATATCCACTTCGTAATCTCTTAGACATCCCAAATTTTCTTCAAAGATTTCCTTATACTTATCCACCAATCTTCGCACTCCCTCTTGCACTTTTATTATCCCCAATTCTATTTCCTCATTTCGAAATTCCTCGTCTTCTTGTCGTCCTGTCTCTTTCTCCTTCCCTTCTATTTCTTGATTACATATACCTTTTTGTATTTCCTTGTTTCATACTATATTTTTCTGTCCATTCTTCCGGCAACTCTGTTCCATCATTTGAAATTTCATCTAATTTTACTTCTAATTCTTTATTGTCATTATTTTCTTCCTTCTCTTTAATATCCTCTCTTCCCTCTTTTCTTCTAAAGTCGCGACAATCCCTTTAATTCCCCCCGATATCCCCCCTAAAATTCCCCCCTATATCTCCCCTAAAATTTTCCCGTCCACCTTCTTCTCTTCCCCTTTACCCTCCCCCAAAGTGCCTCAATTCCAGGCAATTTATCTCTATACCAATAATTCATATAATTAATCTCCCCATCCCTTTCAAGAGGAAAAAATACACCGCACCAAGCGAATACACCCCCAAAACTACAATATAGACCTATTTGCGATATCCAGTCCCGTCACATTACGGCCTTTACTCTTCGATTAATTATAAATCCAATATCTCCACTCTATTCTCCAATATCACTTTTAATTCTACTCTCCCCATCACGGCTACATCTAATCCATCCAACTACCGGATCTTGATATCTTCACTTTTAATCATTCCCTTCGACCAAACCAAATACTCCAAAATCTCTCATGTCCCATCACGGAGATAGCTGCCCCGGTGTCAAATAACATGCAAACCATATTCCCATTCAAATTAATCCATACTCTAGGGCAAGGATCATGCACTACTTCCTCTTGGATCATATTTATACAATTTGACTTCTCCCTTTTATTCCCATAATTAAATTTTTCCCTTTCTTTGACCCACCGCTTCTCGACCTCTGTGGTATATCTTTTGCTATCATATAGTCACAAATACTGACATTCTCTCGTCACATGCCCTTCCTTGCGGCATCGAAAACATATATTATTTAAACTTTTATTCTTCGTTAAATTGGATATTTCTATATCCTCATTCTTCCCGCTTTCAAGATACATTTGGAGCAATTTGAACCATATCTCTCTGTGGAAAACCGCCCCTTGTATTGAAATTGGCAACATTGCATTCTTCCCTATTATGACCAAATCGTCCACAACCCGCACAACGTAATTTATCACGTTTTCCCGGGCAATAAGGAGCTATATGTCCAAATTTTCCACATTCAAAACATTTCGTTTCGGCAATCTCTCACCATGTGGCCCTGTTTTCCACAATTATAACAATTTAATTTTTCTCTGCCTCGGGGATTAAAACCTGGTCTTATTTCCATTCGCCTTTCCTGCGAATTTTCTCTTGACCATCTATACGGCCCCAATTGATTGTTATACCCTAACCCTCTATAACGGTCTCTTCTTTGCGTGTTATCAATCCTATCATTTATATTCAACTCTCCTAAGTTACTATCAGTGCATCCTTTGATCAATTTCTGTACTGGTAACCAGGTTACCTTACCCATCACATCCTCTTCTCCATTATGTCCTTCGATGATCAATGACAGGCCTTTAATTCTTATATTCCTACTCCTTCTAATTCTTCTTCCAAAAAATAAACTACATATCCATATAACTAAAATGAGAAGTGCTCCAAGAATATTATATTGGATCTCTCAGTTTTTTATGAATTTTAAGCTTTTCATAACCAATTCACAAGAAATTATCTATAATTTTTAAAATAAAAACTTTTATCACTTGGAGAGTTAATAGATAAG